AAATTAGAAAAAAAGTTAAACTTGTCTTTGGTAGAACTTTTTGCGTTGAATTCAATAAACTAGCACTCGTTGTCATAGTCAACTTGATTTACGAGATTAAAAATAAGCTTATGGTTTTTTAAATGGTAATCATAGTTGGCTGTGGGGCTTTTAAAATCCTTATTTTTTTCTGACTTTAACGATATAATTGTTTGTATGTTTTTCTCCTTTTGTTGCCGTAAAACTTCAAAAGAAGATAAATCATGTGCAGTAGGCTATGGAAACAAGAACTATATTATCACACAAAGCACAAAACAATAATGAATCGTTTAAATTAAATGTTCAAATTGACTTCCGTTTACGTCCAGGCATTTTTTGGCATCTTCACATTCAACTCGTGAGTTGTGTGAAGGTGCACCAACATGTTAAAAATTTGCCAATTTTCGATACGATGCTAACGGACAACTAATCAAGTTCATTTGGTAAAAAGTGTAAATATCTTTCCATATTTAAATTGTGATTATAAGAGAATGGACCAATAATTTTACCACTAAAAAGGCCTTACTTTTTTCATTAGCCCAGTAAACATAATTGTGTCTGTTAATTATTTCATTTTTGTTTTGTGCTTTGTGTGATAATATAGCTCTTGTTTCCATAGCCTATTACACATTTTTCATCTTCTTTTGAAGTTTTACGCCAACAAAAGGAGAAAAACATAAAAATAGTTATATCGTCAAATTCCGAAAAAAATAAGGATTTTAAAAGGCCCACAGCCAACTATGATTACCATTTAAAAAAACACAAGTTTATTTTTTATCTCGTAAATCAAGTTGACTATGACAACGAGTGCTAGTTTATTGAATTCAACGCAAAAAGTTCTACCAAAGACAAGTTTAACTTTTTTTCTAATTTTAGCAGTTTACGAATTATATGATAACCAAAAGGAGTTGATTTTGTGCCTTTTCAGGATATTTCAGGATCCAAGTCGAGTATCTAATTTTGAAAACGGTAATGAATAGGCAATCGAATTCTGCCCAATTTTGCCCATTTAACGGATTCTCTATCTTTAAAAGTGCAGAAGATACCCATACAAAGATTCAGAAAATAGCCACCCTGTATAAACATGGTTGATAATTTAACCGCATATTTAAGTGATCGTTATACACGAAGTTCTAATTATTTAATGTTTAATTGAAGTGATGATTTATCTAATTTGAATTTAAGCAGATATTTATAATAAATAATAATTAAATGACTAGAGCGGTTTATATGCATATGAAAATGTAACAAAAAACCGTGAGGCCAATTTTGTAAAGTTACGTATAATGATTCAAACTCTCGTTTTTTCTGTTGAGTGTCTTCAACATTTAATAGTTGAATTTCGCAATGAAGTATTAAGCCTGAAAGTAGTTTCAGCTAATAAATTGAAAATTATTTTTACGTGCTAATCAACGTTTATCATGTTATAAAGTAATTTAAATCAGTCAAATATTTTGTTAACGGATTTATACATACCTACATATAAATGATATAATTTATTTTCATTAATGTAATTCGTTGAAAATTAAATTTGTTATTCAGTTGTTCTAAATTCACGAAATAGATAAAACACGCATCGATGCACTCTTGTTTTTAAATTAGCGATATTAGCCAAACCCGTAATTTATTAAATATTATATTTTACTCGACAGTACAACTGTACAGTTTTCATGTTAATTTATTATTCAATTAATTTTATTCTGAAAATAATTGGGTTTCACTGAATGTAAATTTTCACTAATTTGTACGATTGCTAGTGAACTTTCGTGCTTAAAAATTACATGATGGATTAAATGGGCAGATGTGAGCACATTATGTGTAATGTGTCTAAAACACTGTACAAATAAACACATTAATGACAACCTCCATTTATTCGAAATATCCAGTTGATAAATAACAAACAACGGAAATGCATAACAAACGTTTTATGTTTTTCTATAAATGTTTGCTTTGAAGCCCATTAACGTAGCATCGCATTTTATAGAACAGTATAGTTGTCTTTTTTAATTTTTTTTATCTAAATGAGAATCAATAAATTTTTTAAATCTGTTGTTCACACATTAGTCTTTTTAGTCATAAGAATTGAAATATTCTACAAAAAGCAGTAATTAACAATGTTGATAATTTCGTTGTTTTCTAGAATCAAATCAGGAATTTAGACTGTTCTAATAAGTGAAAATCTGTAATTCATTGCTGGATAAGGCATATTTAGAAACTAGTTACCAATCTGTTTCGGGTGCCGTTCAAGGATGCATCAATGGTTCGATCGATTGTAAGCGACTGAAAATTCGAATGTGAAACAAAACAGGTTTCGATCATTTGCAAAAACTTGTCGGCGTCCTCAAAAGTGGACATGTATCCAAAAGAAATGCGAACTGATCCTGTCGGGCTTCCATCGACTAAATCGTGTTGGTCGCCACAAACGTGGCCAGCCTGAAAAATCATCGAAGTCGTTGATTTTCACTAATCTATTTTTCATCAACTATGAAGCGAATAAAATAAAAAAGAAATGAAAAGACACAATTTAAAGGCCATTCAGGAGAAATCAGAAAAATGCGGAGTTGCGATTAGCTCTAGGGGAATTCGCGAAAACTAAGCACAAAACTTCCAAAGAAATAAAACAGCTAACTTGTCACTGTTGTAAGAAACACCGAAAGTTTTCACTATAATGGACGCTACTAGCACGTATATCGCTTTTTTTAAACTGTGAGAACTTTTTAAAACTTGTGCTAGAGTGCAAAGTAATATATGTTGGCCAATTTACAGCACTCAGTTTCCCGCTATTGGAAGTTCGTGCTCCTTTCTAAATTCGCTCTGGAAACAGCTGATGAGTGAAAGTTTAGCTGAAACCTGGAAAAATGTTTAGTTCTAATTTAAAATGCTTCAATGTTCTAAAAAAGTTTTTGAGTATCTTTTTAAAATTTGGGTGCGATATAGAGAGCTGAATGAAAACGGACTAGGCAGTAAAATCTTGATTTGTAATCGATTTTGCAGCGTTCAAAGTTTCGAGAAAATTTAAGTACAGCAAGTAATTTTTTGGATCTTTTAAAGCATAAAAACCATGAACAATAATTTGCAAAGAACACTAAAACCCCGAAAAAATATTAATGTATCAACTCAAAAATAACGAAGTGATTCCAACCGAAATTTCAAAATTCTAAAATTCTAGTATATGCACTAAGAAACTTAAGAATTCGGTAGCATCATTAGAAAGAAGAATTGAGCCAAATAATGTTCTAATACGATGTGTTTAAGGGACTTGTTTTTATGGACATTAAAGGGCCTAATTTGTTTTGGCTGAAAGCAATTTTCTACATGTAAATTTTGTTTGATTAGTTCCAAATTAATAGCTTAAAATATGCAATTAGATTGGCAAGTAGGATATTTTTTTCCTGAGATAGCTTGACCTAGATATGTTCAATAACTCCCATTTCTTATACTGGACTTGATATATTTGCTCATAAAACCCACATAGCACAGAGTCGTTTTGTTAAAGAAAGCAAACTCGAATCCGGCACGAGGTCTATTGGATTTGCATCCATTTACCTCGTCTCCATCTTCCCAATTTCCACATTATTGAGAGCGATTTATGATCGTCTGAAAAACGGCACGTACGGTAGCCTTTAAGGAATAAAATGGTAGACTGACACGGGACTTGTAAAATATATCATATTACCGTTTCCCAATATTAAAGTCGGACGACGATAAAGAAAGGAGCATGCCGTAGAAACGCGAACACCAGGAGAATAGAGAATCAAAGCTCTAAGAGAAGACACTCCTCATGTTACAGACTATGGGAAAAGGGCAGGGCAGATGTGAATTTAATGGTCATGGGCTGAGCCAAATAATTTATGTTTCAACCCGTTTCGAAATTAATTAAACGCCACGCCATCCCGGGTGCTTTTCTAATACAATAAAACTTTATCAGATTTAATATTCATGCTTGGTTATTTTCACTCAATCTTTTTTAAGCAATATACTAATATATGCGATGCGGCCTTATGTGAAATAAACGCTTGCTTAAAGTGTTGTTTTCACTTTATATTAAAATACAAAGAACAGAATTGTTATAAAAAATGAACGTGTAGAAATCTTATCTGTTGTTAGAAAGTTGATGACCATTCGGTTTTGAGTAAATTAAGTCAAAAGACAATATAGACTTTTTCCTGCAAACTGTGGCAAAAAAAATCAGTTATTACGTTTTATGTATTATTATTATTATATTAGTGTCACACTTGAGGGGAATTCCTCAATTATTTTAAAGCGGACTCCGTGCACATTCAAAGTGCTTTTAATGTTTTTGTTTTTTTTCAGTACTTATGGACAATGTACATTTTTAATGCTGAAAATATTCAATTGTGCCAAGCAGGTTTTCAACTGGACATATTTTCTCAAATATCGCGAGCAACTCAACACTAGTGATTTTATAACTTCAAGACTGAATAAAATGTTAAACAGTTAATAATTTAAAAAAATAGAAACAAATTTTCACAAAATTGCAATAAAATTATAAGATTTACAGCAGTTTTCTTCAAAAGCAAACAAATAATTTACTTACCTCAAACTGATTCTGGACTTTATCAGGATCTAATTTCAAGTATTTCTGGCACGCCCCTGGATTACAAAAGCAACCAGTTCTCAAATGAACTCCATTCAGATTGGCAAAATGTAGAACCTAACAATCATTTTCTAATTGAGTTTAAATTGAAATACATAGTAAATATGCACAACTGCAAATTGAAGAGACAAACAAAAATACAGTATAAAGGGTATTTTACACTTCTTTATAACATAAATTGATTTAACCGGGACTTTTGCCAACTACAGGAATATATTTATTTATAACTGAAATATAATTGATAAAGACGATACATTTAAAAGCTATTTCGAAAATCTATGAAACCAAAATAGTTATAATAATTATAACTGTATTTTGTAATTTTTGTACTTCCAGCGGCCCTGATGATGACTTAACAGTCGAAAGCGTTAGGCCATATTCAAGGGTTGAATTAAACCACAACCCGGATTTATACACACTGTAATACAAGTTTACATTCCCTGTGATTGAATAAGTAATTAGTCATTAATGAATATTTTTTGGTAGTTTTTTAAATGTTTCTTTTGACAAACTAATATTGAACTGAATTTGATTTCTATAATTTTAATTGCATTGCTTCATCGCTGACAATTTCAGTTAGCTGTTTATTTCAGAGAAAACTTCTTCAAATGCAGTTAGTTAAGAATAATCGCTGAATTGCTCATCTTATCTATTATTACTACGCACGCAAATGCGCCACTATCTCGCAAAATATAGAATAACAAAAACGAATCATTATGGCATTTCATAACTGAGTAGATTTTAATTGTTATACCTATTATACCGTAGCGAACTTTACCTCAGAATATCCAACATAATTCCCATTAGGTCTCTTCAAATTGAAATTAATAATACTTCCTTGGGTTTTAACGCTTTCAAACTTCGTGTCGTGGTATAATTCTGCAACAGCTGTTCCATTTGAATGATGCATTTCCATTAGATTCGCAAAAGTGTATTTAGCGACATTAAATGTATGAAGCGAAATTAAATCTGGCGTCAGATTTAGTGTCTGGAGAATATCAAAACCATGCCTTAGGCTAGATATTGATAAAAACGAAATTGTACCATCTTCAAATCTAATAAATAAAAAAAAGCGATTTTAATGAAAAACTCTTCTAGATGAATGAATTTTGCAACTCACTGTTCATAAATAATTGGCTTTGGAATCATGACATTTTGAGCACTTAGAGCCATTAGCACAGTGCCGCCTCCAAAATACGTTTTTGTTAAAGCATTTTCACTGGAGCGTTTGACCAAAAGTGCCCCTAATCCAGTCGGATATCCAAATATCTTATAAAATGATATCGATATAAAATCCGGCTGATATTGATGTAAATCGAGCTGATTTGTAGATGCGAAACAGGCCGCATCCAATAAAGTATACCAATTTTCAGGTGTAGCAAAAAGATGATTCAAAGCTTCGCATTTAACTGTCTTTATCCATGAAAGGGGATATTTTGTCCCTTAAAATGTTTTAATTAAATATTTTAAATTTAATTAAAATCTAATTACATTGAAATATATCTAGTAATCACTGAAATTCTTGTTGAAAACATGATAATCATTTTGTAAAAATTAATCTAGGGAAGTCTAAACTTTAAAATAGAGAAACGCTAAAAGCGGCTGGAAATATTAAATACCTTTCAAACATTTCGCTTCAAAACGTAGTTGGATTCGGTTGAGATAATTATTAATGATGGAATGTAGCTGATCTTGAGAGAATTCTTTTCAAGTCATACACAAAATCTCCTTCAATTATCTAGATATATTAAATTAGCTAGCATATTTTGCCTTTACTTTTGTGGATATGACTATTGTAAGATAAATTGATAAACTTTTCCATTTCTCAAGATTTAGTCGATCCAAAAACACCTTTTCGAAACCCTCTACACCGTGATGGATTTTACAAGTCCCCAACATTATTACCTGCAAAATTGCTCTGAGCTGGATATACAAAAAGGCCGTTTTTTCCGTTCCGCAGCTCGCTGTTGGAATCGGCTGGATTTGATAAAACATTAAAGGCTTCCTCAACTTTCAGTTCGCGAAAGTTGGAAGCGAACTTTCGCATTCCCAACACTGATGTATGGTTGTCTTCTAAATAAGCAAGAGTGCCTCCATTAAATTCAAACGTTTCTCCTATTAGCTTAAGAGCATGGGTTGCGCCTGATGTAAATATCACTGAGTACTGGTCGGGCGATGTTTTGACGAAACTTAACACTCTAAAAGCACAATAGCAAATATTTACCAATATACTAAGACAAAGTAGGTACGTGCCGGTTTCATAAAAGGTGAAAACAGTCGCTAAACGAGATGCCGTTATTTCTGAGGTAATTCAAAGCTAAGCGCAAACTCTTAAGCGCATAATCGAGATATGAAAATAAGAAAAATTATTTCAGTCAAAATGAGTCCGGGACCCCTTGGTTTCCCTGATAGTGGCATTTTCATCGGTGAATAATTGAACTGTTTTTATTTTATTGCAGAGACGGGGAAAATAAACAGCGAATAAAATTTGATGACTGTTGAAGCTTGATGTCTTGTAAAATATGTTCTGATCTCATATGGAAAAGGTTTGAATTATGGTTGGCAGAATTTTATGTTTTGCTTCAAAATTTGTATGTATGTTGCTCTGAATGATCCCGTTCTTCTGCTATATGTGCAAACATATAATTTTTCTTTTACAATACATAAATTAGTCATGCACTCGACGGTCTTTATAGACTTACAAATTTTCAGTTATGAGACTGAATAAGAAAGTATAAAGTATTGTTTAGATATTTTTATGTCTGCAATTGATACATCTTCAAAACTTTTTCCGGTTCTTAATAAATAATATCAAAACAGTAAAACAAACACATACAGCTACTTATATTACAAATATTTGTAAGTTTATAAATATATTACTTTTTTAATAAATCATTTTGTTTCAATTGCAAATGGGAAATAACGTAAACTTACTTATATCTTACTATGTCCACTGCATCTTTAGTGAATTCACTACTATGTGAATGAGGATTTGAATATATGTTGTTAGATAAATCTGTAAAAATATTGGCTAATTGCTTTTCTGAGTACAGCGTTGCTCCAGCATGATCAAGGTAACATAAATCTAAAACCAAATTATTAAACGATTTAAATCTTTTATTTGGACAAATTACCTAAATTGAAAAACATCTTTAGATTAAAATATAGAAAAATTACAACTAGTTTGTTAAGAAAGAAGAACAGTTTGGAGAAAGTCAATTAGGAAAACAGTTTATGAAATCAAGGGCATTCCATTAATTAAATACGGTCGACATTTTTCAAATGTTCCATTAATTTTTCTGAAGGTTCATTGAGCCAGCTTTTAAAGTTTACCAAAAAATACCTTTTGTGCCTTTCAATTAATTAAATCAGGAAACAAAATGTTTACATTTCAAGTCTTTAATAATACTTTCTTTTCCAAATTTCAACCTTCATTTAATTGCTGAGCTATTTATAACTTTGCATTATTCACGCGAGTTTTAAACGAATTTAAAAAATGTTTCATGACAATATTTTCATTATCATATAAGTAATTAATGCATATATTTAAGTTTCCTTTAAAGTCTAGCTTTACTATTTAATCAATTTTACTTGGAACTGTAATCATTACATTTTACCTTTAAGTCTGGAAAATTCACATCTGATTTTCGAAGCTTGTTCTTTTGAATAAACATAGCATTTTTCGTTTTGTATCTTATTCTCTGTTTTTAGGCTTTTTTCCATTGCTATTAGTTTCACTCCCACTTTCACTAATAACAAACAAAAAGCTCACAAACTCTAATAAAAAATTGTATGATTTTAAACTATACCGGTTGCATGCAATGTTCAATGTTCAGTCGAAGACTCATTAAACATTGGGTTAGGAGAACTTTGAGTAATATTTTCTATTTGCTGCAATTATATAGGTACATATTTACTATCCGACAATTCTCCTTGTTTATTTTATATACATCGGTCACAAAAATCATTTTTTAACTGGCTCATTGAAGTCAATAAGTCACTATTTAATTTAATAATGAATCATGCATTCATTGTAGGGCAAAAAGTACTGAGTTTTGTCCATTTACTTCAATATCCCCTTGCTGCTTCTATTGTTAATAAAAGCAGGAAATTACTATCAATTTTGCGGCCGATAGAACAAAACAACTAAATAACATGATATTAAGAAATTATTCTACGAGCAGAGTAATTTTGTTTGATTGATCCAGCCTAATGGTTTTAAAGTTGAAGCCATATCTTCCGTACGCAATAATAACCAGTTCAACTTGAAGAGTTTAAAAAATTTTTTTACTTAATGTGAATCTTTTGTAATGCGGGTGCTTTCACTAGCTAGTCATAAATCTTGGAAAATATGCAACAAAAGCCGGCTCGTCACGATTCCACGCAAGCATAAAAATCTGAAAACTTTTACTACCCATAAACTTACGACACATTAAACTAGGCGACATGAATATTAATACATTCGGACGGGGTATAAGCGCCAAAAAGGCCAATTTAAGCTTTTGGATTAAAATCTAATTGATCCTATTTATATGCAGGGTCATGGAGCGGCAAAAAATCTACTAGATGAATCGACTTTATGTGAAATAATTTATTTGTTTTACACCTAGTTTATTTATTAGACTAGTTTTGTGTGTGAATTTGTAAAGACATTAAAAAATCTTTAAACTTTTTAATGAACTTTGGTGAATACATTTTTAATCAATACACTTTTATTGCGCCATTTTATATTATTTCCACGTCACTTACTTTTGTAATTCAGTCCTTTGATGTATTCATTTATACTGCACCGGTGGATATTTTAATAAAAAAATGACAGCATTTAATATTTTAGTGAATGATTAATCGAGATTTATAATTGAAATTGTTCGCATTTAAAATTCCCTAAAATTTTACGAGATTTATTGGCAGTATATGCATTTCAAGGTAAGCACTTTCATCAAGTTAGTTATAAACACTATTTTTGCTAAACATTTCCATCAGGGCACAAACAGTTACCTTTAATCCCCGTTTCTATATTAACAGTTTTAAATTTCAATGTTTCCATTATCAATTTTAAGCTCACAATTTTTTCCTTCGGTTTTTACTATTTGAAAAAGCCTCTACGACCTACTAAACGCAAAACTGTTTTTTTAGAGATAAACTGTATATAAATCCGGTAGAATAAATTCCTGCTATTTTAGTCAAGTGCCGGAAATGTGAATAACGATTTGGAAATGAAATAATTCTGCAAAGCGGCTTTAGCTCGTATTGCAATGCTAGATAAAGTATGTGGGAAGTAATCAAAACTTTGAACAAAAATATAGCGAGCACGAGATCTTTCTGCCGAATGGCATCAAATGCGAAAAGGGAATATAAATTCAAATGCTGCAATTCATGCGAGTGTTTGCAACAATTTGTTTTTAGGAAGGCTTTATGTAGTTGAAGTGGGCAAATCATCTATAAAATTGTAATATTTCCCACGCTTTATTCTGTTAATATAACGGTTCTACAGTTATTTAAGGAAATTACAACGAGTATTGTTTTCGAAAATGTAGGTAGACATAATTAGATGCAAGAGTAAAACAACCCAGGTGCATAATCAAGATAAACATTTGATAATCAAAATGCAACCGACATTTTTGCGTAAATAATACCGTGTTTGAAATTAAAGCCCTTAAAGGCAAAGCAATCACTGTATTGTTCTGTGCACATTTCCCAGAATGAATATAATGGCTTCATGAAAATTCAGCTAAATTTTGCCATGCAGTAATAAGAGCTTTCAGTTTATAGCTGTTTAAATATAAATAAGGCAGCAAAGGAAACAGTTATTAAAGCAGATCAAAGGAGAGAGTCGGACCGGATTATCAGCAATGTTCTTTTATCTTCAAACTGCCTGATGTTGCAAGGAAAATGGAAATTCGAGGCAAAATACTCAAACAAGTGTACGACCTTCTAATACAGCAAAAATAAATAATGCAACGTGAATTTTTAAATTCGGACGGGACGTGGAAGCTTCCGTTCGAAATTTTCAAATATCTAGACTTTGGGGAATTTTAAAGTAGTCTATTCATATTGACTATTCAACGGGAATTTGGAAATTTATGGAAATACTTCAGATTTGTTTATTTATTTTTATACTCAACGTTCAAGGTAGGCAGGCTCTAGTCGGTTCGCTGAAACTTTACAAAAAAATATCAGCCGTAGGAATGGGTTTCAATTAAAATGGGATGATGATTTACTTGATGTGATGAAGCAAGTGGAACTGTAACAATTGCATATCAAAGACCACTGGCATCTAACATTTCTAAAAAATAGCATGAATTAGAAAATTTATATTTAAAAAGTGAAAAACCGAAGCATCTAAATCCAATAAATGGATTACGAATGGGGCGCAAAGGCGAAGTAGATCAATGTCTTTTCTAGATAAAAAGTTGAAAAGTAGTAAAAGCAACACTTACATTACTTTTGGTTTTATTAGATATATCTGCAACTTGCCAATAATTTCCACCCTATTATTAAAAACTGACGAGCTAGATAATATTATATTAGAATATTTAGTCAGCATTTCAAAAATTATTCATTATTTAATCGATTGCAGTGCCCTTTGAGCATGTATGAATACTAGCTACATAATAGCTACATAATTCGGGCGCAACCTATTTAGCTGTATTTTAACTTCTGGCAACGTTTACGCTAAATATGCTTTGATATAAAGGGAGATACCTACGCTTATTTAAAGAATTTGTTAAGCCCTTTGTAACCGTAGCCTTCATTCATAAGCTCAAAAGCCAGTATTTTACATTGTACGAAATGCTTAACTTGGAATTCCATTCGTGCTCCAACATTGTTACATTCAATTTAAAAATGTTCTTTAGAGACAAGATTGTGATATTTGAAGTCGCACGTTTTCCATTGTTGTTTTTATTCTTATAAAATCGTTAAACTTTTCGCGTTTGGGAATTTGCATGGCGAACATGTATCCGACCGCAATTTCCAGACGTTTTGCCAAGTTTGCACGTAACGAGGCCAAGAAGACACCCGCCTTAAACAGAAATGCACCCAATTTTTAGCAGCTTGCATGAATATAAAACGTGTTATCTCGTGCGGAATCCCATTATTCAGCTTAACAATGTAAGAATGAGTGCAGAAAGATACACAAAAAATATCTTACTTAAGCTCAGTGCGACTCAAAAAGGCAAAATCCTGCGAGCAAAAGCGGAATCCCTGAAATATACGGATAACACTTTATGAATATATATGTATATAAAGTTGTGACAGGCTAAACATATCGTTAAAGTATTAGATATTACGAGAAAAAAATTAACTTCACAACCTGTTATTCTTGTTTGTCGTTAGGAATGTTTCACGGGTATTATTTTCAGGGTAAACCCAGCTGATGGGAGCAAATCGACTCGAAACTAATCCAAAAAGAGCCTGAGATCACAGAACATATTTTGGGGGGATATTTTGTGCCTGAGATTCACATAACTCATAATTTGTACCTACCAATATCAGTAACATTTGGCGGATACGATGATGCCGAAAGTTTAATTTTCTTCTAAAACTTTAAAGATATTTTTCTTAAACAAGCAAGAGTACAATCTTACTAATTGCATTCAATATTTTGATGTCCTTTTACTATCGACTTTAATTTTCATCAACATAAACTGTCTTTATCAATAAAAAGAAGTTACATATTTTATTTTCATTTAACATTCTTCTTTATGTTGCTTGAACTGCTTTCACTTAAGTGTATTAGTCTTTCCGAAATTTTTATCATGTTTGTGCGTTCGTATAGTAGTTGGTTGGAAGGGTTGTGCAGTGGGTTTTGGGGGTGTCTTATTCGTGTTATTAGTCTTAGTGCAATTTGTTTTGTTGTTTGTACATATCGTTTTGTCCTTTCTGTTCCGTTGGCCATGAGTATATGTCCGTAGTCCAAGAGGGGTCTGCAGATAGCTTTATATATTTTTGTCGCGGTATTTGTACTAATTCCTTTGTCCTTGTATGTTAGTGATCGAAAGTGTTTTATTCTTTTTATCATTTCTGTTCTGATGTTTCGTGTGTGTTTAGTGAATTTCAGTTTGTGGTCGATTGTAATCCCAAGGTACCTTACGTCGTTTTTCGATTGTTATTTTTCCGTCTGCAGTTATTGTGGGGGAGTCAGCGTTGAGTCTGTGGTTCGTGAGCAGAAGTTGATTTTTTGTCGCGTTTGGCGTTAGTCT